CGGCCACTGCCTTGCCGCAAATGATACCTGGTTGATACCTGGTTGATAGGGTTCTGGGAGTTCTTCTACTCCCCAAGCCCAGCCCGAGGCCAGGCTTGACTTGTGAGAGTTTGGCCCACTAAGCTGTTGCTTGGAGCGGCCCGCAGGCCCACATACCCACCACAGCCCGGTTGGTCCGGCACTCCTTGGAGGAATAAATCTAGTTTCCTCTTGAAGATGTCCACGGTTGTACCAGCAATATTTCTTATGCTCGCTGGGAGGGTGTTGAACAACCGTGGACCTCTGATGTTTATACAGTGTTCTCTGATTGTGCCCATGGCACCTCTACTCTTCACTGGTTCTATTCTGCATTTTCTTCCATATCGTTCACTCCAGTACGTTGTTATTTTACTGTGTAGATTTGGGACCTGGCCCTCCAGTATTTTCCACGTGTATATTATTTGGTATCTCTCTCGTCTTCTTTCTAGTGAGTACATTTGGAGAGCTTTGAGACGATCCCAATAATTTAGGTGCTTTATCGTGTCTATGCGTGCCGTATATGTTCTCTTTATTCCCTCTATTTCAGCAATCTCTTCTGCTCTGAAGGGGGAGGTGAGTACTGAGCAGTACTCAAGACGGGACTTGACGGTGTCAGCTCATACCCCTCAGCTCGGGTACTTGTCTGGTGGCAAACATTTGAACTTTCTCCAGTTTAATCTTATGCTTGACTAGATATGGACTTCATGTTGGAGTTGCATACCTCAGGATTGGTCTGACATATGTGGTATACAAAGTTCTAAATGATTCCTTACACAAGTTTCTAAATGTCGTTCTTATGTTAGCCAGCCTGGCATATGCCGCTGATGTTATCCTCTAGATATGGGCTGCAGGGGACAGATCTGGCGTGATATTAACCCGCAAGTCTTTCTTTCTCTGACTCTTGAAGAATTTCATCTCCCAAATGATATATTGTATCTGGTCTCCTGCTCCCAATACCTATCTTCGTTACATTACATTTGCTTGGGTTAAACTCTAATAACCATTTGTTCGACTATTTCTTTAGTTTGTCCAGGTCTTCTTAAGCCTCAAGCAGTCCTCCTCTGTCTTAAACCCTCTCTTAATTTTGTCGTCGTCAGCAAACATTGAGAGGAAGGAATCTATACCCTCTGGGAGATCATTTACGTATATCTGAAACAGGATAAGTCCGAGTACAGAGCCGTGTGTGTTTGTGTGTGTGTGTGTGTGTGTGTGTTCGCAACATCCGATCTGTATTTGGAAACCCCAAACACAGTTGCCGGAGAACAAGCAGAATCAACCGTCTGTCTCACATACGTGGTGTATACCTCTTGCAAAGGGATATTTATCTAAAGCATCTCCGTCGTGCCGAGGGCCGCACTCTCCTTGCACCAACGAGACACAGCAAAATAAAACGGTAAATTTCTTTTTAATGAATAAAGGTATCCTCGAACCAGGGGTCAAGATGGGCAGGGCCCGCCACTCGCTGCCAGTTCAATGACCGGCCGGGTGCTAAGGAAAGCTGGACTAGGGGTTAATGTCTGTATGAGAGAGAGAGAGAGAGAGTGTTGTATATGGGTATACTGCAGGTGTGTGGGTGTATACGATGAGTACAGCACATAAGTGGTACAGCACAATGCTGTTAATGTACACTTGAGTACAATTAAAAAGCAGAGTTGCCCATCACAGAAGCCTAAGAGAATCCAGTATATATTAAAGTTATAAACACACGACATAATTTTTATTTTCTAACACTATTATGGCTTCAATTATGTTAAAAAATTACTGGTATTTTGTGACATAAAAAAAGGGTAAACTAAAGTTTAAGGCATATTATATATATCTCCTGCTGTTCAGTCGTTCGTGAATGATTGGGGATTAGGGATTCTGGAGGAAGATATTGGGAGTAGATAGGATGCGATATAGGGGTAGATAAGGTGATATATAAGGTGCGCTGTAAATGGTAGATCAAAGACGATATAAGGGCGGTAGACAGAGTGCGATATACGGGGCCAACAACTTATTACATACGGCTATAATGTGTGCCGATATACGGCACACATTAAACTATTGTGGTGGGCTTAATAACCCTCCAGAGGTTGATAGGCCTTAAGCCCAACATCAAACCAAACAACTTGAAGTTTATTTAATGATAATTGTTTATGTTCTAAAGTCAGTGGAATATTATTGCATATATAATGAAATATAAGTTAACGTACGTGTAACATTAGCAGAATAATGTTCCCAAATACTCAGTGTATTCAGGACTAGCTATACTTGCTGGATGGGCAGGAATTTAGCGTGTTGGCCTCAACAGTCAGCCCGCGGTTGATAGGCTTTAACCAATGTGAAATTATAATAGTTCAGCCTACAGAACCTGTCAAGGGGTAACTAACTAAATGTTTGGGTGCTATGGCTGCCCTCACCATCTCTACAAATTTATTTACATGTAAAACCACTACATACGCACAAAATCCTATAGCACCTATAGAATAAAACAAAAATTTCAACTAATCTTAATGGGGCCGGAGAAATCTAGGTCAAGTCTAGACTACACAATACGAAATTGAACACAAAAATAATTCCAGAATTCCGTTACCCACAGAAAATGAGAATACGCTGAAGCAACGCTCAAAGAACTTAAAATAAATTCCTACTGATGACTTCCCGAGAGAAACAAGAAAATCCAATATGTTCGAAATTACGATTAGAAATCAACTCATTTCCTTAGCCACCAAGCCATTCCAGTTGGCTTTGAGGTAAATTACAAACACACGCCGCCGTCAGTATGTATACACATTAAGGCAATGAACAGGAAGATGGAAAAAAGGGGGGATGAGGAAGGGGGTGGAGGGAGTTGAGGGAGTTGAACAAAAGAGGGAGGAAAGGCCACTGTATATATAACCAGTGTCAGGTAGATGTGAGATCGGCATTCAGTGTGGATCTTGCTGCAGTACGGGGCGGCCGCCATGTTTCCCTCTCGTCTCTCCAACTGGGTGTGGATACTGCAGGTGTGTGTGGGAATACTGCAGGTGTGTGGGGTACACTGCAAGTGTGTGGAGATACTGCAGGTGTGTGGGTACACTGCAAGTGTGTGGGTACACTGCAAGTGTGTGGAGATACTGCAGGTGTGAGGGTATATTGCAGGTGTGCGGGGATACTGCAGGTGTGTGGGGGACACTGCAGGTGTGAGGGTATACTGCAGGTGTGTGTGGGTATACTGCAGGTGTGTGTGAGTATACTGCAGGTGTGTGTGAGTATACTGCCGGTGTGTGAGTATACTGCAGGTGTGTGTGGGTATACTGCCGGTGTGTGAGTATACTGCAGGTGTGTGTACTATGTGGGGTGTGGGTATACAGTGTGTTGAGAATGCTACAGTTGCATTGATGTATTACCATGTAGATGTTGGAGACATGTGGCTACAGTGTCGAGTGAATAATTCAAGCATATGGAAATACAACAGTGTGGATACACTGTATGCTGTAGCTCCACCAGAATAAAGAGTAACTTTACATATAGATATCTAACTACATATCTAATGTAGTAGATATGTCTACTTGACCGAACGCAGTACATTTATTTTGCACAATCGACTCTGCGTAAAAAAAACGGCTCCGTGAACCTGATGGTTTAGGGAGCTAAAAAAAAATATATAATATTGATGATTTTTGGGGCCTATTAGGTTAGGCTGCCGTAGGTTAGGAAGGAAGCCTATTCTCTTATACCCCTATTTTGTTTGACTAAACCACTGCCCCTTTTTTTTACGGAGGGGGAAATGGAGATAATGCACAGATACCTTGCAGATATTGCAAGGTGTGGCAATAGTGAGGAGCGGGTATGTGGATAGTCTGAACCTCCTCCACACGTGGACGACTATTGAGGAGAAACACAGGAACAGCCTACCTTGAGGTGCTTCCGGGGCTTAGCGTCCCCGCGGCCCGGTCTTCGACCAGACCTCCTAGCCTAACTATAGCCTCCTATAGCCTAACTATATACATCTGGGCCAAAATTCACAATCCAAAGACGCGGGTATACTGTGTCTTCGGATTGGGATATATGCAACCTTATAGGCCTAATTTGGTATATATACCATGCCTATGAAAATTTTGGTTTAGTTGTCCTCTTTTTTTTGAGCCATCAATGAAATTAATAATAAAACCGGAAATTTTCTGCGGCCCAGCAGTTGATAGCAGAAGTTAATTAGCAGTATAAAATACTCAGGGGGAATAACAGAGTGGACATAGACGAAATGTTCACACGGAATAGTAACAAAACGAGGGGACATAGGTGGAAGCTGGAAACTCAGATGAGTCACAGAGATGTTAGGAAGTATTCTTTTAGCGTGAGAGTAGTGGGAAAATGGAATACACTTAAGAAACAGGTTGTGGAAGCAAATACTATTCATAATTTTAAAACTAGATATGATAGGGAAATAGGACAGGAGTCATTGCTGTAAACAACCGATGCTCGAAAGGCAGGATCCAAGAGTCAATGTTCGATCCTGCACACACACACACACACACACACAATCCTGTCCACACAGTAACACCTGTTTCTTCTACAGGTGTGCGTGGTGGCCGTGGACGCAGTTCCGTACAGGTGAGTGGTCAGTCCTGTGGGGGTTGGACTATATAGCACCTGGAAGGGGTCATGATAAGGAATAGGGGTGGAAAGGAATGGTGCCCAACCGCTTGGACGGTCGGGGATTGAACGCCGACCTGCATGACGCAAGACCGTCGCTCTACCGTCCACCCCAAGTGGTTGAATAAGAAGAACATCGAGATTAAAATAAAAACGTAATTAATATCAATAATGATTTTAAAATAGTACAAATAATTATAAATAGTAACTTATAAAAGTAAATATTACAGTTCCCTTCTCCTACTCCACTCCCTTCATTCCTCCTTTCTTGTTTCCTCTCTTCCCCTTCTATCTACCTTATTTCCTTAGTCTGGCCAGTCGGTCCGTCTGCCACTCACCCGTTTACTCCCTCCAGTGTGGAGTGCATGGAGGGCCCCGGCAACTACTCCATTCCTGGCAGCTGCGGCAGCTTCGTGGAGTGTGTGAGAGAAGAGGTGGAGCAGGAGGTGGGTGGAGGGACCAGGAGGAGGGTGGAGGTGCGGCCCTTCCACCGCTCCTGTGAGCCCCACCTCGCCTTCTCTCCCCACACAAACACCTGTCTGGAGGAGTCACTGGTCATGGTAAGGCGGGTGGGGAAGGTGGGGATGGAGGGGGGGGGGGTTGAAGAGGGGGGGGGGGGTAAGGATGTCACCTCTATTCCCACCTTTAGTCGTTCCGGTCTTTCCTCCCCCCCCCCTTACCTGTCCCATCCAAAATCCTTATACTGATCCCATAGAAGTCGTAATGGCTTGGCGTTTTCCCCCTGATAGTTCCCTTCCCTCCCCACCTTCAGTGGATGCGATGGGGGGGGGGGGGGAGTAGGAAATTGAGAAGTGTAATTGCACCATGTGCGTGACAGCTAAGTTGGGATCCAGGAGCTATATCATTGCCCCGTAGACACGAATACACAGTTACAGTAGTCACTCCAGTAACAAGTTACCCTGGTAACTACCCCCACAGGAGGACGAGCTTACCCAAGTAGCCCTGCCCATAGAAAGGCTTCCTACACTTGTGAGTAAGGTGGGTGAAAATGGATATAGGAAAGTGTGCTTCAAGGTAATGTATTCAAACATCGATGGGATTACCAATAAAGCAAGTGAACTGGCAGAAGGGGCACAGGAAGAAAACCCAGATGTAATAGAACTCAAAGAAACAAAATTGTCCGAATTCATAACAAACGCTGTGTTTCTAAAGGACTACCATATAGTAAGAAAAGAGTGGGAAGGGAGAGAAGGAGGAGGAGGAGTAGCCCTGCTGATAAGAAAGAACTGGAGTTTTGAAGAGATGGAAATTCTGGGCTGTGAAGGATTCAGAGACTGCATGACAGGAACTATGTCAATTGTGAACCTAATCTAATAGTGGCAGTCATTTACAACCCTCCACTAAATGACAGAAGACCTAGACAGGAGTTCGATAGGAACAACATGGCAACCAATAATAGAGAGACCAGCTTCAGTTGCCTGCAGGAATGGCTCCAGACTCTTAATCATGGGTGATTCCAACCATGGAAAGATAGACTGGGAAAATGGGGACCCACAAGGAGATACAGATACATGGAGAGCTAAACTATTGGAAGTGGCAACAAGGAACTTTCTGAGCCAACATGTTGGGAAACCCACAAGAAATAGAGGCAATAACGAACCAGCTAGACTCGACCTAATTGATATTCATCTTGAATGAGTCAGAAATAAAGGAAGTCAAATTTGAAGCCCCCCATGGGAATGAGTGACCACAGTGTATTGATATTTCAGTATCTGGTGGAGGCAAGGATAACCTATCCAAGGAAGGGATTGGAAAGGAAAAGACTAAATTACCGAAGAGGAAAACATGACGAGATGAGGAACTTCCTAAAGGAAATACCGTGGGAAACGGAACTCAGAGAAAAGACTGTACAGGATATGATGGTTTCGTAAATTCATCCAAATCAGACACAGATTTCCTCCTTTATTTGTTAACGCTTCAATATTACTTGCACTTGACACTTACGAAATGTGAGTCGGTATATAATGAAGGAAGCGGAGGAAAGAAAAGCACGGGAGGGAAGGAAATGAGAGAGACAATACAGAGAGGGAGGGAGGAATAGTTCCCTCCCTGGTTGATCTTGAGAGAGCAAACAATGTGTGGAGGGAGGCGTGTTTGCAGTGTCATCCTCCTAAGATGGTCAACACACGGAATCACGCTCCAACTATCCATCATTATTGTGCGTGTAAACTGAATTCGGACAGCAAGATGAGCGGCGTTTTAAACGTTTCTGCCCGAAACGCTGCGTGTGCTAGTGGCTTTACAAGACTGTAATTACCATATTTGTATCCTCACATTCCTTATGTACATTCTTGTATATGCATAAATAAAATAAAAAATAAAAATAAAACATTTAATGAGATGTTGAGGGCGCTTCAGGTCAGTGTCCCGGATAGTATCTTACGGGAAAATAAGACAGATTTCCCCCTTTGTATGGAAGATTTCGTGATAGGGTGCAAACATGTCGCTCAAAACATAAACAAACTGTTAAGGGATAACAATGTTCGCAGATACGATTATAAAATATTGTTTGGAGTTATAACTTGAAACACGGGGCCAAGAAGAGTGTCTTCCCCCCATCCCCTTTAACAACCAACCCTGGTTGCAAACCGGATGGGATACATTAGGATAAGATACATTAGGACAGGATACATTATATTAGGGCACGTTACTTTAGGATAAAATGAGATAGGTTAGGATAGCGAGGACTAGCATAGGCTCACCCTTGTGTTCCAGTTATTCCGTTTTCTTTTATAAATTTTCGACGTAGAAAACGAAACTATTTACTGCAGTAACTATCATAAAATAATGCGCCAGCATATAATTCACTGTACTCACCTAGTTGCGCTTGCGGGGGTTGAGCTCTGGCTCTTTGGTCCCGCCCTCTTAAATGTCAATCAACCCTGGACTGACAGTGTCGGGGGACAGGAAGCCACAGTGTATTCATACACGTTTGAATTTTATCGAGGGCCCCCCGCCCCCCAAAGGCCGAATTACTGACCCCCACAGGATGAAACCCAACACCAATCTGACTAACTCCTGAGTACCTACCTACTCACTGCTAGGTGAACAGATGCATTAGGTGATAGGAAACGAGCCCATGTCTGTCCAGGACAGGATTCGAGCCCGGGATTCTTGATTGCGAGTCGAGAAGTAGCCCAACTGTACTACCGGTGTTAGTTTTAACAGATTTACTTTTCATTTCTTTTAAATGCAAATCTGCGTATTAAATACATGATGAAATGCGTGAAAGAGTTTGTTAAATGCTCGATATTTTATGTTCCTGCGAATATGGAATGTTATACCCATACTTACGGGTATCTATACATCATACCCATACCCACAGGTATCTGTACATCATACCAATATCCACGGGTATCTATATATTATACCCATACTAACGGGTATCTATATATTATACCCATACCTACGGGTATCTATACATTACAGTCTCCGTGGTGTAGTGGTAAGACACTCGCCTGGCGTTCCGCGAGCGCTATGTCATGGGTTCGTATCCTGGCCGGGGAGGATTTACTGGGCGCAATTCCTTAACTGTAGCCTCTGTTTATGGATGAAAAAACGATTCTTCGCGGCGGGGATCGTATTCCAGGGACCTGCCCGAAACGCTACGCGTACTAGTGGCTGTACAAGAATGTAACAACTCTTGTACTGTATATATCTCAAAAAAAAAAAAAAAAAAAAAAAAAAAAAAAAAAAAAAATACCCATACCAATGGGCATCTGTACATTATACCCATACCCCCACAAATGACAGAGACGACCTGCAGCAACCCTTGGGTAGGCTGAGGTTGAGAGTAATGGCCATAATCTATCATGCAGCATCTACATACACTCTAAATATTAAACACAGAAAGGCGGGATCAAAGAGCCAAAGCTCAACCCCTGCAAATATAACTAGGTGAGTACACATACATACCTTGCTGGCGTACGCATCTCTACGCCTCTAGTGGCCGGAGGCTTTCAATAAACATGCAGGGACATTGTGGTCAGTTGGCCTACTTGTTTCAGTCACACATATATTAGGTTGAGTCCAACACCGCAAAAACAACAACAGCCGGGAGCGGCGTCTGGTCTCTTAATGCCAATATTGTCCGCGAGGACGCTCCCTCCATGTCACCAGTAACAACACTAATATGAATAACTGGCACTTCAACAAGTTAAGTCGCTCACCATTGCCCTTGTGATACAAAAGATTATCGATGTGTATATGTATTTGTGTACATGATTGTATATATTACATTAATAATTGTGTAACTAGCGTCATAAGATTGTCACTTGCTTAGTTAAACGAACTATGTGGTTCAGTTCCTGAACCCAATATGTGCCTACAACCCGTCCTCGACTTAAGTTCATTCCATCCAGCGGTCGACCCCACAGACGCATTCATAAATTTTAACATGCTGTTCATTCAAAACGGGAATTTTCTCAAATATAAATTAATACTATAATAAACTAGCATATTGTGCATATATAGGCATAGATTAGGTTAGGTGTTTAGGTTCTGTTGGCGATTATTTGTATTTGTAGTACGTGGGTGAAGCATTTACAACGTTGTGATTCGAACAAAATTCGTCAGTGAAACACTTGTTCCGGAAGTGTTCGGACGAAATGAGTTGTGAGTCGTGTGTAAACCGTTTTTCATTCATAAACAGCTGGGGTTTGGCGGGTGCATGGGATCACTTTTGGGTCTTTGTTTGTAGGACGGGCTGACTCACAACTGACGACGTTCGAAAAGTTCCGTAACAAGTGCTTCACTGACGAATTTTTTTCGAACCACAACACTATAATTGCTTCACCCACGTACTACAAATACAAATAATCGCCAACAGAAACTAAACACAACCAACTAACTAACCTAACGTATGCTTATATATGCACAATATGCTAAAATATTGTAATATTAATTTATATTTGAGAAAACTCCCGTTTTGAATGAACAGCATGTTAAAATTTATGAATGCGTATGTGGGGTTGACCGCTGGATGGAATGGACTTAAGTCGAGGACGGATTGGTTGTTGCAGAAGTTATTTGCCAATTGTCTGCCATTCTTCCAAGGTAGCAGTGTGAATCCAGTGTATGTGTATGTGTATGTATATATATATATATATATATATATATATATATATATATATATATATATATATATATATATATATATATATATATATATATATATATCTCACAACAGGAAAAACTACTTCTGCATCGTCTAAATATGTACTAGGAAATATGTACTTATATGCTGTGTGCGAGGGGGCAGGTGATGCCAGTATTGATACTTTTTATTTGACTAGTAATGATTTTCTGTTTACAGGGTTGTAACAAGTTCAGAAAACACGAGACGTTGGACCTTCTCCACGACCCGCTGATGGACCACGTGTGCAGTAAAGCGCCCAACCAGTACATGTGCGCTAACTGCAAGATGCTCGTCAACTGTCTTAACGGCAAGGCCCACCCTCAGCCCTGCCAAGACTACTTCTGCTACAACAACTACCAACACTTTGGCGGCAACGTCTGCTACCCTGTAGAGCCCAAAGGCTGCTCCTGTCCTGATGCGAATGTGTTCTACCGCGACGCCTACGATCCCGGGGCCTTCTTCATCTGCAGCGACGACGGCGAGCGCCACATGCATCACTGCCCCGAAGGATACACCTTCGACGAGAAGCTGGTTGAGTGTCGCAGCGCCTCTGGTCTGCCCAGCTGTCGAGAGCCAGGAACCTTTGCCTTCGCCGAGGACTGCACCAGGTATTACACCTGCATCGTCACACAGGAAGGGTGGCTACAACACGAGTTCAGGTGTCGAGGCGAGAACGAACTCCACTTTTTCAATGAGCAGACCGGGAGGTGCGAAAGCCCTTGCAACTGGAAGCAGCCGATGTTCAATTGTACAGAAGAAGGGAGATTTGGGGACCCGTTGGACTGCCGGAGGTTCTTCGTGTGCACCTGGAACACCATAACTAACAGCTTCCGACAGGTGCTTCGTCAGTGCCCAGACGGGTACGAGTGGCAGCAGGTTCTGAGGGACGGGTCTGGCCGCTGTACCACTATGGTAACCAACGACTGTATCCCCGTCACCACCACTCGCTGTATCGTTCCTCGTGGTCTCTGTAGCACATGATCATTTTGGACCCTGCTTCTGTGACACAACTAATCGACTGGTCCTCAGAAGTGACTGATTTGTTAGCTATCTGATCTCACCAACTGTGACTAACTGCGGCTCAGTCTTGAGGTCTCTTTGACCAGCGTGTACAAAGTAATAGAAATTAGCTTGATCGGAATGCACTGTGTCTTAAAGGGCCTTTAGACTGGCTGTGTAACTGTTGAAGTCTCCTCTTTAACAGCCAGACTGTGTTAAAGAGTGACCCAAAATAACTTCAAAGCGGATTTCTGTGTGACTTATAATATATATATATATATATATATATATAGCAGTACCTGGCCACGCGTTGCTAAGCCTCAGCAACTCTCCCCTGTCCCCCCATGCAACAGATGCAGTTTAAAAACGTGCAACAGATGGAGCTGTTTAAAAAAAAAAATGTTTTTACCTGTCACAGGGGGTGGCATGTATATAGTAAGTATATAAAAACGCGCATATTCGAATGCAACGTTGTGTCAAAATTTCAAAGCAATCGGTGAAGAACTTTCGGAGATTTTGAACAAACGAACATTTACATTTTTATTTATATAGATATATTTATTTATTTATTATTATATTTATAAGTTTTTGATAGGTGGAAAAACCACGTGGACAATTCTAAGAACAGAAAATGACGAAATTAAACATCTACGTGTGGGATTTTTAGATAAATTTCCCTTTGTGTACACACACACACACATGCACTCAAACACAAACACTCATCTCGCACATCTTTAACTCATCGACAAACTCAAGGACAAGTCAACACACATCACACACCCCAGGCGACGCCTCGGGTGCATAACCCCACCTCTGAACAAAGAGCTCAAACTGCAGGTAATTCAACCAGTTAATACGCCCAGAGTCAGTTGGGTGTGTGTTTAGTATTTGTGCCTGCAGGATCGAGCTTGGTATAGCTCTTGGACCCCGATTTCCTAACTGTCGGTTGTCTGACGACTCCCGACGTGTGTGTTGTTATTAGTTGCTGCTGTTGTAGTCTTGCTAGCCGCTGCTAGTTATTATTATTTATTGTTGCATAATATTAGTTATAATAATACAAATATAAATAGTTATTATTTTAATTTCTGTGTATGTGTATTAAATCATATTTATGTAAGTTATTCTTGAATAAACTGACTGAGAAACTGAAGTAAAATATAACTATGTTATTATTCAAGTATACCCAATAGACAGTGAACAAATTTGTTTCTCGCGAGTACCAAGCTCTCAAATACAGTCAACTTTAACACTGAATAACGACGACATCAGTATAGCGATGCACTGTATCACTAATGATCTGTACCACCGACTGTACCACTGATGGTCTGTACCACTCTGTTTCTCGCTCTTCTCTTGATATTATTATTTTGATATTCCTTGCTACCTCTGTCTATCACTTGAGACTCTTGGATGTTTTTTAATATTCTTAACACTTCCTCGTTAAGCTTTCTTATTCTGCAGCTTTCGTTATGCATTAGTATCGTGTTAAATAAATTTTTTCGTGTTAAATATATTTGAATAATGATGTACTATATAGGGAAAAAAATACTTATTATAATTTAATATTTTTCTAGCTGTAAACATGGAAAATATTTATAGTATAGTTATTACATCAACACTATTATCAAACCAACTCTTGTTTTGTTGTTTTTGTTTTTATTTGATATTTTTTTTCTAAAACTAAATTCATAACTTGTCGAAATTGAAAAAAATCGCAAATTAGTTGAAAATGTTTAGGTTGTGTTAGAATGAACGGCATCAAGATCTGGCACGTAGTTCCATTACGCCAGCGTGACGTGCAGAATGTATCGTTCATTTTTCATTTTCAAGGGGTTGGGGGTGGGGGGGGGGTGAGGAAAGATTGTGGAAAATACGATGGTAAGGTGAAGGAATAGGGGAAGAATGTTGACAGACACATTATGGGGGTTAGGGGAAGAGCTAGGAGCCAGGGTTAAAGAGTTAGGGAAGGGCGGGGGAGGGGGGGAAGGGCGAATGTGAGCTATGTAGGGACCAGGAGTGGGTGTCAGGGGTCAGGAGTGGGTGTCAGGGGTCAGGAGTGGGTGTCAGGGGCCAGGAGTGGGTGTCAGGGGGTCAGCGGGCAGAAGGGATAAACATCTTTACTAAAAACGGACAAAGATGCGTAGTAAGTTTATTTATGTTTTGTTTTTTTGTCGAGGAGTGTATTGCAGACGTTCTTGGCTTGTTGCTCGGGCGGGCCACCTGGGCGCTGGAGGACGCGCGCCCTCCCTCCCCATCACGCGCGCCCGGCCCCGCACACACACTGCAGAAAAACACATTTCAGTTTGAAAAATAGTGAAAAGGACTGCATGAAGTCGTGGTCGAGGCTAAGTCGACACACAGTTTTCAATGTAAATAAAAGAGTCATTGTACTGATCTCACAATAGCCGAATGGTGGAGATTCAGCTGCTCGATCCTGCAAGCACATTTGGAGGAGTACAGCCTCCCGCTCCTCCTGATGCAGTCACACAAATGTAGGAAGGTACAGGCCAAGGGGATTACAAGTTACAAGGCAGACCACAGAGCCTCAATGGACAAATGAAGAGAGAGAGAGAGAGAGAGAGAGAGAGAGAGAGAGAGAGAGAGAGAGAGAGAGAGAGAGAGAGAGAGAGAGAGAGAGAGAGAGAGAGAGAGAGAGAGAGAGAGAGAGAGAGAGAGAGAGAGAGAGAGAGAGAGAGAGAGAGAGAGAGAGAGAGAGAGAGAGAGAGAGAGAGAGAGAGAGAGAGAGAGAGAGAGAGAGAGAGAGAGAGAGATAATAACAAGACCAGGTAAGGGAGCAGGGAGCAGGCGGTGGCCGTACATTACCAACCTTGGCTGCCCACATATGGAGACGCAGCTACTTCTGCTGCTGTCCTAACATTTGTTGTTCTTGTTGAGTGCTTATGTTCTGTTCCTCGTGTCCGTGTCACTCCCGCTGACACTATTCCATCTGGGTCTTCTGTGCTGGTCACGAAAATTTACTTATTTGGTCGTGATTTGGTTTTCACTTTTAAAGTTTTCAGTTTTATGTAACTTTCAGATACTTTGACAATATTTTGACTTAGGAATATGTTGACTCAAGTGTAGAATCTCAATTTGAAAAAACAGAAAATAAAAATTACAGAAAGTTCAAGGATTTACTACAAGAAACAAGGGGGAGTCGGGAGCCGTGGTGATAGGCGACCGAGGCGTGGGGGCGCCTATTGCCATGGCCACAAACGCCCTGTCAGACGGCCAGCTCGTGGGCCACGCGTTGCGAGGCGTGGCCCAGGACCTGACGTCCGCTCTTCAAGTACACTTACGTGGGTAGAGCTACGTGACTGTACATAAAGCTGAGGCAACAGTGACGCCCTTGCTTCTGGCAGACTGACAGTGTCGGCGGTGCTGTTGAGGCCTGGAGAACAAACACCCAGACGATATTAGTGTACCTTGTCAAGGTCATCCCGACGCCAACAACAGGAGGAGGAGGAGTGGGTGGAGAAGGAAGAGGAGAAGTGGGAGAGGAGGAGGAGGAATAAGAAGAGTGTAAATAAGAAGTGATTGTGAACCCGGCGGATGTAGAAACTCACCTGGAGGCGGAGTGAGTCCTGAAGTCACTTCACCGCCAGGTCCTCAGGCACACTAATACTCACCACTCCCTGTCAAGGCCAATGTATTAATTAATTAATAATCTGGTGGGGGATTCATCAGCTTGTGTTGAGGGACGTCAATGTCAAAAGCATTTGACATTTTGCAAAACAGAGGTCAATATAGTTTGATATAGTCTTACAAAATTCTGATATAAAAATGTAATTCGTAATCGAAGCAAAGAAAAGAAATACACCATTTAGGTTTCACATTAGTGGATTCGAACCATAGTTTCGAATCTGCCTCACGGCTATTCGATAATAATGGTATTACTTAGCTTTGACAATCAATATTGCACAGAAGACGGCAAACTCTGCACTGTTGCAGACAATTTACTGTGCAACACTATTTGTTGTTGTTCCTGTGTAGTGTTGTATTGTAAGTGCTGATGCCTCTAAAGAATAGATATTATTAACTCTTATTCCCCACAAACTTTGCTTGTGTGACAGGACGGTGACCACGACGGTGATAATTTGAAATTTACCTTTTTCCCAGAACATCCCAGGAGGTAGATTCAGTGTTGAGTGAACTTGGAGTAACATCTAGAACTTTCTAGAAATTCCCAGTAATATATATAGTATAAATACAAGAGCCTTAAGCCCACCAGTTCAGTGTAGTTCCAGCTGCCTTAGGAGATACATAGCGACAGGTTCAGAGACGTGTCAAGAGGCTGCGAGCATCCGATGGACGCATTTTACTATGCCCGCGGCCAGCTTACCAAGAGAAGAGTGAAGATGTACTCGGTGGAACCATCTGCTTTGATGTATGTGTGTAAGGTTTTCAAGGCTGCTGAAAATGGGATCAGGAGCCTGATCTATTAGATCAGGAGCCTGATCTCGGGAACGATCAGGGATCGTGATCCCAGACCTGGATGAAGACCCTGGCTTACTCGGTGCATCTCAAAGAGGTGCATTAAGTCCAAGGATTTGAAGATGTAAAGAGGTGCATTACAATAGCATCAAGACCGAGCTGCGTACCTTGGACTATGATGAGCCAACCTGTCCTCTCAAGTAATACATCGTGTTTTGACGTCAAAATCACCAGGTTAGGTTGGCGTGTTTAAGTGCACCGTTTCTGTCCGTTGTGGGCCAAGTGGACGGCCGGGATGAGTACGGCTGCCAGGTCTTCGAAGACTTCAGATTCATGATATGACTGACGAGTCTCAAAGACGGTTTTAGCAAGTTTTCCCTGTTACGTTTGCCTTCAGGAGAGCAGACACCGCGGATCATTACCACAGGCGGGACAGGCCACAGCAGACCGAGTTCTCTGCGGGGAGGATCTTCGTCAAGTGGATCCCTCTGGTGGACCCCTGGAAGGTGCTCATGTCACCACTGCACAGCAAACTGGGACACCTGAAACAATGTGTCACAGCTCTAGATATGAAGTCGACAGCCTTCAAGTATCTTCAAGTCTTCTTCCCTCAGCTGTCAGAGGCAAAGGTAAAAGCCGGTGTCTTCGTAGGACGACAGATAAAGATCCCGGAGAACAAGTAATTCATCCAAGAAGCTTACTAAGAAAGAGAAAGTGACCAGGAACAGCTTTGTAGGTTTTGGGGCTTAATTCCCCAGGCAATGACCAAGCCGACGAGTACACAGACCTGGTTAAGACTCTGCTGAAGCTTTACGGCACAATGAGGTGCATCAAGACGTCTCTACAGGTCAACATCCTTAATGTGCATCTTCATCAATTCAAGGAGAACATGGAAGCGTACTCAGAGGAGCAAGGCGAGCAGGTTATACCAGGTTATACCAGGTTATACTCAACTTTAAATGCTGGTACCAAGAATACTTACGAACACACGCCTGGAGACCACATTCACGGCTGATTTATAAGTGATTTGTAATATAATGGTATATCTCAAAACTCTTTAGTCACTTCTAAATCTTCTGTGGAAACTATTGTTTAACTTTAATATAAAGACATGTCAATTTTTGATTCATACGTTATTTGATCTGACTTTCTGTGAACCAAGAGATATAATTCCCCCGTTTGTATCATTGGAAATAAGTATAATTTAAAATATAATTATCCTGATGCCAAAAGCACAGTTATAGGGGGAATAATAACCATTTTCTATACATTTTATGTTTAATCAATTAGGATACACTAATTACCAGGAACAAAAAATTGTTACATTGTGATTGGACAAAAAAAAAACAGTAAGTCTAACTTGCAACATTCAAAACATAAAGTTAAGAATGATGAGATTTAAAACATATGTATAACAGATACATATTGATGAGTTTGGACATAATTAAGGAATACATCGGACACATCAGGATACATAAATAGGCAATGACCTGGGCGAAGTTGAAGACCTTTAAACTTCAGGTCTATATGTCATGTAATATGTAATACAAAGTTAGCAATGCACTAAGTACTGACCAACGACAAAGGACTGACCAAATAAAAGGGATAAAACAAAATTAAAGCAGTAAGTAAATAGGAGATAGAATAATCTAACCGAGTGGTAGACCTTGGAGGCGGCGGCCTTGGTGTCCAGTAAGTGTAGCACCACCACCAGCACCATCACCACCAACACCACCACCAGCACCAGCACCACCAACACCACCACCAGCACCAGCACCACCACAACCACCAGCACCACCAACACCACCACCAGCACCAGCACCACCAGCACTATCACCAGCACCATCACAACCACCAGCACCACTAACACCACCACCAGCACCACCAGCACCACCACAACCACCACAACCAACACCACCACCAACACCACCACAACCAGCACACCACCACCACCATCACCACCATCAACACCACCACCACCACCAACACCCCAGACAACAACACCGAGCGCAACACAAGGTTCAGAAGTGGCAGCAACACATGAGTGAATCAACAGAACATAACTGAAGGTGGCGCAGTGGTAGCACTTCCGCCTTCACGCCCTGCGACCAATTTCGGCCGGGTTAGACCCCTGGGCACGGTGGCCCGATCTTGAACTGTTATAACCCATATTCACCCAGCAGTAATCGAGGACATGGTTGTAAACCGATTAGCGGGTCGTGTTCCAGGTAACCTAGAAGGTAAAGCTTACAATGACCCGTAGGAAGCGGAAGCGCTAAGTCTTTTAACATGTCTCAGGAAATATATAATCTGACGAACACATACAAAAAGACACATGTACATATCCAGTGGCTTGGAGCGTCGGGAGAAGAAGATGAAGAAGAATAAAAAGTGAGAGAGGGAGGAAGTTATCAGGGGGAAAGCGCAAAGCCATTACAACTATATGCCACTGGGAAGGGATCAGGATAAGGATTTGGGATGGGACTGTGGGGAAGGAATGGTGAGAGAGAGAGAGAGAGAGAGAGAGAGAGAGAGAGAGAGAGAGAGAGAGAGAGAGAGAGAGAGAGAGAGAGAGAGAGAGAGAGAGAGAGAGAGAGAGAGAGAGAGAGAGAGAGAGAGAAACCTTGGGAGAGCTGACAAGGTGTGGGCGAGGAGTCACCATATGCCAAGGTAAAACAGACATAAAGACTACGCCCCAAACACCCACCGCCGCCGGACACAAAACACTGAATCATTACTGCAGATCAAACCTTATAATTACCCCGGGTTATAATTTTCTCGAATGGGTCTGAAAAAACCCTAATTCAGTCTTGGGGTCGACGAGACAAGGATGACATCTCTCGAGGAAGACGGCCAGATATTGGATAACATGGCGACACTGAACCCTGTTCTCCGCAGCTTCTCAAGTCTGCGAGGACATTGTTCCTCTTGAGAGATATTCCAGAGTCTGCCCATCTTCCTCCTGGCCACTTCGTGTGTGTGTGCTGGCCTCATAGTCCAGTCGACACACAGACCACCTTGTCTGTGCTCCTACTCACGTCCATCCCCTTTGTTATCGCAATTATTTCTCCTCATTTCAACTATTAACCGAGCTTGTAAGCTATCACGACCACCACCACCCCAGGAGGCGGATGGAGGGAGAGGGCGTGGCGTGGGCTCATAGTTCACAGAGGTGTTGTTGGGGACCCACCCGTGGGCGCCAGCGTCGGCCGGGGCGCCAGCAGCAGGCGACGTGGGCGGCGCCGGAGATGCCAAGGTGAGAGCACTCCTGCAGGCTGCTGGCCACAGGTCCCGAGGCTCGCTGGACGCGATGACTCTTGTGATGACTCTACACACCGGGCGGAGGGTGACGTGTGGAGGCTGAGGCTGTGTCATCAGCCCTCTGCTGGGGTCACAGGGGCAGCTGTGTACTAGTGGTCTACGCTGTCACACCAACCTAAACATGCATTTGGTTGTTTAGAAATTGGTTTCCTATAGTTACTACTGGCTGACCTCTCCCTGGCTGAGGCCAACTACTGACCTCTACCCAGGATGCAATCCACAGTCGACTTCCTACCACCAACCTGTGTTCTGCTAGATGAATATAGGCACCAGGAAGGGGAAAGGGGGGGAGGGGGGAGACAGAAAAAAATGAAAACATTTTCTTTCTTTTTTCGCCTAAAAAAAGAGACCATTCGAGGTATTATATACACCACGTACATGAGACAAGTATTGGGATATGCAGAGACTCCATGGATTCCACGCCTTGGCAGCCCAAATAAAACAAGATCAAATAATATAACCGATGATATAATGATACCAAATATAACCGACTCACGACGGCAGGGAAATGGAACTAACTCAACATAACTTTAAAGTTATGTTGAGTTGGAAGAACGAAGAGGAGACCTGATCATAACGTATATGATTGTGGATATATTCATAGCATACAAAAAAAGCTTATTTACTGTTAGGCACTGGTATACTGCACATGCACTGGTTGTGCATGTGCAGTATATAAAGGGAATGAAATGATAATGTCTAGTACACAGAGATTGAACAACTAGGCAAGCACGACACAGACTGAGCTATTGGGTATTTATCTAGCCACTGAGTACCTAAAGCTCAATGGTGGTGGAGTGATATTCTGTGACTCTAAAAGTGCTCTACAGTCCTTAAATAACCCATCACAATGTATGTCGGAAGTAGCTCGTAATATTAA